ATGCTGGGAAGTCCAAGATCAAGGCAGCAGCAGATATGATGTCTGGTAAGAACCTACTTTCTGGTTTACAGCCAGCCAGCTTCTCCCTGGGTCCTCACGTGGCAGAAGGAATGAGGGAGCTGTGTAAGGTCTCTTTTATAAGGGCACTAATTTCATTCATGAGGGCTCTAAAAGCCACGCCTCCTAATACAATCACATTAGGAGTTAGGATTTCAACGTATGAATTTTAGGGGGATAGAAACATTCAGTCATAACAAGGCTGAAGCACAAGGAACCCCAGAGGTACCAGGGTCATGTGCCCAGCCACCTGGCTAAATTGGAAGGGTCTCTGAGGCATCCATGCTAATCACTTAGGGCACAGCCCTACCAGAAGAAGAGGAAACAGACTCTTCCTGGAAAGTGCGACCTTTGAGAAGGCACCAAAGGATTCAGCTCTGTATTTTCAGGGAAACTTTTGGTAGAAGGAGAAAGGTGTTGGCTGAACAGAGAGACCCTGGTATTCCTGGTTCTGGGCTCAGGCATCCACCAATGGGCTCTGGGGAAGGCCCCCGATGAAGGTCCAGGTGCAAGGAGCACAGACAGGCTGCAGAGGCTGACAGTCCTCAAGCAGCTGGCGTCACCTCTCTGCGTGTTCCTGCTTCCTTGTTGCCCCTTTGCTCTGGGCACACAGTGCCAACATCAACCTTGAACACTTCAGAGCTGAAGTCCTTGTTCCAGTGCCCCCTGCCTGACCACTGCCTCTGGGCCTCCTAATTCAAACACTCACATCTGGAACACAACACAAGTGGGTGCATTTCCAAAGGAGGGGCTGCAAGCTGGGTCGGGACTCTCAAGTTTATCATCCCTCAGGCAAGTCTTGGCCTTTATGAAGTCTAGCTTCTCCATATGTGAAATGGGCTGACTCCTGCTTCATCATCCAATGAGAACCTTGCATTCACATTCTGGACGCTTGGTGGGCTCAGCAGAGTAAGCTGTGAAAATATACACAGAGTAACTGGGTGAAAATGTCCTTCCCTGTTAATATATTTCAAGATCAATGTAATATACCATATCAATAGAAAGAAGGAAATAAACATGGTCACATCAATTGATATGAAAAAAGCATGACAAAATTCAATACTTTTCCATGATATAACATTCAATAAACTAAGAATAGGAGGACATTTCCTCAATATGATAAAGGCCATATGCAAAAAATCCACAGCCAACATCACACTCAATGGTGAAAAGTGAAAGCTTTGCCTCTAAGATCAGGAACAAGGCAAGGATGCCTGCTTTTGCCACTTCTATTCAACTTAGTGCTAGAAGTCCTAGCCAGAGCAATAAGACAAGAAAGAGAAATAAAGAAATTCAAATTGTAAAGGAAGAAGTAAAATTATCTCTGTTCACAGGTGACATGATCTTCTATGTAGAAAACTCTAAAGAGTCCACAAAAACCTGCTAGAGCTAATAAATACAGTCTGCAAAGTTGAGGCATATAAAACCAACACACAAAAATGGGCTGCATTTTGATACACCAACCATGAGCAATCTGAAAAGGAAATTAAGAAAACAATCCTACTTATAATAACATCAAGCAGAATAAAATATATGGGAATAAATTTAATTAAAGAAGCCAAAGACTTGCACACCAAAAACTACAAAACATCACTGAAAGAAATTATAGAATACTTAAATAAATAGAAAGACATCCCATACTCACGGACTGGAAGACTTAATATCATTGAAATATCCATACTATACCAAGTGATATACAGATTAAAGGCAATACCTATCAAAATCCCAACAGTGTTTTGTTTTGTTTTTTCAGAAATAGAGAAACCCATCCTAAAATTCATATGGAATCTCAAGGACCCCCGATAACCAAAATAATCTTGGAAAAAATGAGTGAAATTGGAGGATTCAAACTTCCTGATTTCAAAACTTATTATGAAGCTACAGTAATCAAGATTGTATGACATAGTGACAGACATAGACACCAATGGAATAAAATAGAGATCCCAGAAATAAACCAATCTTATATTGTCAATTGATCTTTGACAAGGGTGCCAAGACTATTCAATGGGAAAAGGACAGTCTTTTCAACAAATGATACTGGGAAAACTGGATATCCACATGCAAAAAAATGAAGTTGGACCCTTATCTTAAACCAAGTTGTATAAAAAATAACTCAAATGGATCAAAGACCTAAACATAAGGGTTAGAACTATAAAATTCTTAGAAAAAAAAAAAAGGGAAAATTTCCATGACATTGGATTTGGCAATGATTTGGATATGACACCAAAATAACAAAAGAAAAAAATGGGTAATTTGACTTTATCAAAATTTAAAAGTTTTGTGCCTCAAAGGAAACCATCAAGAGACTGAAAAGATAAGCCACAGAATGAGAGAAAATATTCACAAATTATGTAATGAGGGATTAATATCCAAAATCTACAAAGAACACCTACAACTCACCAACAACAAAACAAAAAAACCCAATTAAAAAATGGGCAAAGGACGAACAGGAACTTCTCCAAAGAAGATATACAAATGGCTAATAAACACATGAAAAGATGCTGAATTTCACTCATCGCTAAAATTAAAACCATGCAATACCCCTTCACACCCATTAGGATGGCTATTATCAAAAACACACAAACAAACCAACCCAGAAAAGAATAAGTGTATATGAGGATGTGGAGTAATTGGAACCCTTGTGCATTGCTGGTGGGGACATAAGATGATGCAACTGCCTTGGAAAAATTTGGCAGTTTTTCAAAAAGTTAAACATAGGATTACCATATGATTCAGCTATTCCACTCCTAGGTATATACCTAAAAGAACTTCAAGCAGGACTCACATAGATACTTGTACACCCATATTAATAGCAGTATTAGTCACAATAGCCTAAAGATGGAAGCAACCCAAGCAGCCATCAACAGCTGAATGAATAAACAAAGTGTGGTATGTACATATTATGAATATTATTCAGCCTTAAAAGGAGCAAAAATTCTGATAGGTGCTACACCGTGAACCTCTTAAACATTATTCTAAGTGAAATGACAAATAATGTATGATTCCACTTAGATATGAGATACCTAGAATAAGTAAATTAACATAGACAAAGTGGAATAGAGGTTACCAGAGGCTGGGACAGAGGCAGCGGTGAGGAATTAGAATCGATACAATTTCTGTTTGGGGTGATGAAAAAGTTCTGGAGATGGGTGGTGGTGAAGGTTGCACAACAGTGTGAATATACTTAATGCCACTGAATTGTACACCTAGAAATGGTTTTAAAAGGGTAAATTTTGTTATGTATATTTTACCACAATTAAAAAATATATATACATAGAGGATGGCCTGAGTGAAAGAAAGCAATTTGAATCAAAAACGGTGATTTCCGATAGGCTGGCCTATTAGTTTTTTACACAAGCCTGCTGCCTGCTCTCTGCTGACAGGCCTTGAGTTGGACTGAGCTGCCTAGTGCCTGAGGTAAGCCAAATTGTCGGGAACTCCCCCCTCCCTCCTTTGAGGCAGGAAGTTTAAATTATCAGGTCAATTAGGAAAGATACAACCGAAAAATACAAGTTTCATTCACACTTCAAGGAGGCGTTTCCTGGCTGGGTGCCACTTTTATTATTTTTGGCGGAGGTGGCTGAAAACCCCACAGACCCAAGTAAAGGTACAATGTGATCTTTGATTCGCGTTTCAAAGATCAAAGAGAGTGAGTTTGGGTGTAAATGCAGATAACATTTCAGAGATGGTTTCATGAAAGGAGTCACTAGACCAGGGCAGAAAGGGAGCTGGTCTCTTACGTGTGTGTTCGCCTTGAGAAACATCTTTTTCCAGTGAATTCGGCTGCTGATGGCCCTAGTAATTTCTGGCCTGCATCCAGGTCCTTGGCCCACAGGGCATTTGGTCTTTGGGCTGGGGGGCCGGCACCCCCTCCCACCTCTTGTCTAGGCACCTTAAGCACACGGAGAGGAGACATGGGGCGGTGCACGCGAGAAGCACTCAACCTCATGCTCCACTCGCTTTTGCAAAGTCTCTGGGTGCTGACTGGGCATGCCACTCCTGGGCAGCAAACTTGGCCTTGGCAGCCTGCCCTCATTGTCCTCTCTCGGTCCAGCCTCGACCGGGGTAGGCAGCACAAACCCACCCACTAGAAAACCCACAGGCTTGCCAGCCCCTAGGCACGCAGGTGGGGAGTCCTCACTGCCAGCGCTGCTCTGCCCTCCAGCTCCTGGGCCGGAGGTATGTAGAACCAGGCACTGGGTGGTGAGAAACACTTTCCATGGAAGCGCTGCTGCCTCTCTATGCCCAAACCCTCCCTGATGCTCTCTGTCCCCAACATTCCTTCTGACGTTCCGTAGCGCCCCAATGCCCAGCTGATGGAGGGCAGTGGCAATGTCTCAAACATCTGTGGGGGAGCCAGGTGGGTGCTCAGCCCCTCCCTCCAGCTATCCGTTCCTCTGCCCCAGCGCGTTTCACGTCTGCCTGCGGGGCACCGCCAATCCCGGCCGCCCCACGCTTGAGAACGCGGCCCGAAACGCTCCAGGTACATCGCGCGGACGGGTTGAGCGCGCTCCCATGACCCCCCGCGCCGCACTGCTGCGCTGGCAGGGCCTGGGAGCGCCTGCGCGGCCCTGGGCCCAAGGCTCAGGGCGCAGGCGCGGCCCTGCTGGGAGGCCAGCGTGGGACGTATGGGGCGGTGCGCGCACGCAGGGGGCGTGGCTGCACGACGTGTTCAGCCTCTGAGCGCTGTGCGGGTTCGACCGGGTGTCGCTAACTTCGGCGGGAGGGTCAGTGGGGCGGCGGGAACCCGAGCTGCCGGCTGGGGCCCCGCCCCTCCATCTCTTCCTAACTCCCTTCCGCAGAGAAGCGCTCGGAGTCCCCGGACTGGGTCCCAGCTGTCCTTCCGAACGGCGAGCCTCAGTTTCTCGGTCGGCGCCGCAGGCTGGGGAGATCCTGAAGTCATTTTCGGGTGCTTCCCGCGGTCTTCGGAGGTCGCCCCCGCGCCCCGCCTCGCCTCACGGCGGCCGATATTGTTCTGCACTTTTTAGGTGGCACTTGGACTCTCGCCCCGGGAGGGAGACCGGTCCGCAGTCTCCAGCTGCAGATCCGTGGACCCTCTTCACAGACGCTTCGCGCAGCCTCAGGTAGGTCGGCTTCTTTTTGCAGTGGGACTTGTGAGCTCATTTCCCTGCGGTTTCCTGCATGGCGTTTGCGGGAGGGGTGGTGCAGTGGTCCACTTGCTATGAGGCTTTGGGCACGTTATTCTACCCCCGGGGCCCCTTGTCTCCAGCGTTATCGGTGCTTTTTGGCTTTGCGGAGGCAAATGCGCGTGCGTCCCGGTACGTGCTCCTTGAGTAGAGCGCTGTGCAGTCCAGGAGAAGGGCCCAAATTCCTCAGTGTTAGGGTGGGGAGAGAAGGGATAGAGGTCAACAGACTGGTAGCCAAGGCGCCAAAGTGTTAAGAGACCCAGGCTTAGGAAGGTTCAGGCCCGTCAGGGCTGGTTGGTTGGAGCAAGGGAACATTCTCCCTCAGGCTGCAGGGGGCACACAGGCATGCTGATGAGCAGGCAGCGGACAGCTAGGGTTCTGATTGGGGGTGGGATTTGGGGCTGGGAGGAAGCCAGGGCAGAGACCTGGGTAGTGCGCACTGTCTCCTGGGCATGGGATGTGGGTTTTGCATGCAGCCTGGCACCTAACCTCAGATTGGTGGCAGGAGCTGGGGTGTGGTTTGCAGTCACTGGTTTTCAGAATTCGATGAGGGACTGAACTGGACTCACAAGTGGACTGCATTTGTGTGCTGCCCCTTGGGCTACTGCCGCCGGCAGGCTCTGGCATATTCTTTTACTGTGTTAGGATGGGAAGGGCTTTCAGGTGGAAGAACCCCCCACAGAGTGAGGGCTGTACCTGAGAGATTCCAGAATGCTTGGGTGGCAAAGGTAGGTGCTCTTGACCCTAGCAGCTTCGAGTGCTGCAGGCTACCCTGGAAGGTGCTCAGCAGAAAGACCAGCAGAGCTGTGTCTCCCTGGAGGAACTCATTCTGATGGGGATAGGAGAGATAAACACATGGGCAACTATGCACAAAGGTGTGTGCAGGCCGTGGTGGCCCGACGTGAGTTGATGGAGCATTAGGGTTGGTGTGGAGGGGTTGCAGAGTGTGTTCTGTGGTGGCTATGAGTGGACCTCCCTTTGCAGAGAGACTGAGGAGGTGGCCACTATCAGGCTGGGCAGTGTGAGAGCCCTGGGAGAGGGCTCCTAGCTTTGGAAGGGAACTGTATCTGGTGATGGTTGCAGCCTCCTTTTCCACTGTGGGGCTCTTTGGGCTGCTCAGGGTTGATGACCACTGCTCTCCAGGCCCTTTATAGCAGTGACTTTGGGGTGGTGAAAGAAGACGTAGCAAGTGGAATTAAACTTGGGGTTTGGATGCTGGGCTGTCGACAGGAATGGGGATGCAAGGAGGTGTGTTCGGGGTGGGGTGGCGTTGCCAGCAGGCTACACTCTTGAGTGGTGAGGTGAGTCTGGAAGGCACGGGTGGGGAGGCTGGAGGGCACAGAGAATAACGGGTCCCTAGGCTTCTGTTGGCAGAAAGGTAGCACCTTCCAAGCTCCTAGTGCTTTGATGTTGAAGGATCTTGTGACACTGTCTACTTACATAGCAGTCACAGTGTTTGGGGTGACTAGGTGACTCCTTTTTGGTGGATTGAAAGGTAGTTCATAACCAGCATGGTGATGTATGGTGGTTAAGCTGTGGTCTTTAGAGCCAGGTTCAGCTGCCTCCATCACTTACTGGTGGTTGGTGTGTGGCCGCAGACAAGTGACTTCACTCACCACTCTGCCTCTGGTACGATGAGAGTACCAGCCTCATCAGGGGGTCAGTGTTTGGCACAGATAGAGCACTCAGTAAAAGGTAGCTACTGTCGTTCTCCTGAAACTCCCTGACAGCCAGCCAGGCCATCCAAGGAAACCCTGGGGGTTCCGATCTGGCCCCCTTTCCTTCTCCTGAGACTGACAGCATCTGCCATCATGCCTTGCCCATGAAACATCACAGGTGGCATTTGCCCACCTCAGACCTCCCAGGACTGCCTCCTGGGCCCTCCTTCCACTCAGAGCTCCTGGTTGGGTACTTGGGGTTTGCCTGCTTAGTGCCTCCTCCTGCTGCCCAGTGGAGGTGGTTGGGCCTGGTTCCCGCTCTTCCCCACCTTGTTTTTGGACAGATTGCCTTGGATGGTGGCCTGCGTCTGACAGTCCCGTCAGCTCTTCTCAGCGCTCCTGAGGCCACAGCTGTCAGCTCCTCTGACCCTCAGCACTTGCCTGGAACGCCTGGGTTTGCCGCACCCCTTTTCAGCCCATCTCTGTCCTGTTGTGTCATGCCCACCCTCCCTGCTGCGCTGTCTCTTCCTTTCTTCCTCCTTCCTCTTATAGTCGATGTGGCAACTCCCCTCTGTTCCCAGCATGCCTCTTGGCCGGCACCATTGGCAGGGCCCTTGCAATCCCATCTGGGCAGCAGCCAATTACACCAACGCACACCCTTGGCAGCAGATGGACCAGGTCTCTCCTGGCGTCACATATGCCCCCCCCAGTGGATCCCTGGATTGAGCGGCCCTGCTATGGGGACCCTGTGTGTGCACGCACAACCTTGGAGCAGAAGAGCATGGCCATGAGTGCTCCCGGCGGTAAGCCCACAGAAAGGGGGCCCCCGGCTCTGCACATGCCTGGCCCATGGCCCCCAGGGTGGACTTCCACTGGGTGCCAGTCTCGTACCCACACACCTTTGATGGCTCCCCAGGGCTTCTGGACCGATATGTCCTTTTGCTTTGAGCACTATCAGGACAACCTCACCTGCATCTTCGAGATCCTAGGGCAACTGATGGACTGAGCCAGGTGTGGGCAGCCCCCTTTGTCGATGGGGACGTGCCCCTTCCTGACGATTATGAGCTCTTCTGCCAGGATTTCAAGGAAGTTGTTCAAGACCCGAACAGTTTCACTGAGTACCGTGCTGTAGCACCTTGCTTCCTGCCTCGAGCCAGCCACCAGTGGCCCCTGGAGCTGCCTGTGGTGAAGCAGTACTTAGCTAAGTACTCAGAGGCCCTGGCACTCAACATGGGTGCTGTCCCAGTTGCTGTGACCACCCCTGCTGTTTGTAGTTCCAACTCTACATCCAGAAATACTCTCCCTGAACAGCAGTGGGCCAAGGAGAACAGCCCTGGGTCTGTGGAATCCCCCACCTTGTCTACTTTGGCATGCAGCACTGATCCTGGTCCTGTGGGGCCAACCTCGTCCCAGCCAGGGGAGGTGACCGCTACATCTGTCCCTGTACTTTCAGGATCTGCTAACCCGCCTGCTCAGAAACCAGATCCAGTTCCACCAGGGGGTCCAGAACCCCAGAAGACAGAGGAGGAGGTTTCTAAGACAGAGGTAGACCAGGAGACATCCTTAGGTACCCCACAGTGGGTGGCGGACACCTCAGAGGCCCCAGGAGACCTAACAGTTTCCCCACTCCCCACCCCACAGCCCTGGATTCTGGGCACAGCCCAGGCAGATGCAGATGCAGATGCAGCAGTGCTCCTTGTGATGAAGTGGCCTACATAGCTGAGGAACCCCATAGCCCTCCAACAGGACGGGGTGGCTTTCCCAGATATTGCCGTATCCACTTGTTTTATTGCTGGGCAGGAGGTGCACCTGTTTGGGCTCTGCTCTGAGCCCTTGTCTCCTTCACCACCCCACCACCTGTTATAGCAGAATATTGGGCTCTACGCTGTGCCTGTCATCCTCTGACTTCCCCAGTGGCCCAGAAGCTGCCTCCTCAGCTGTATTTCCACTGGTTGGACAGTTTCATACAGCAGTCCTCATCAGATATTTCTATGTCTTTATAACCGCTCCACTCCCCAGACCCCTTTGTTCAATGTTGGCTGGACTAAACTAGGTCTGCCATGTCAGCCCTGTTTGGATCTGTCCCTGGATGGTGTCTCTGCTTTGGCCCCCTTGCCCATCTTGGCTCCCTGTGACCTCTTTCCTCTTGGCTGGAATTTAAGGAAGGCTGCATGGAGGAAGCAGCCACTTTGATCATTTAGTATGAGTGGGATGGCAGAGAAAGATGCTTCCCTATGGGTTTACCAGCAGTCTTGGCCAGCTAGGGAGGTGAGATACAGGCCTCCTTGCCAGTCTAATTCAGTGTCAGGCATTACTCCCTTTTGTATATTAAGATTGTAGTTATGCCTGGTTTTCTTCAGAAGTTGACATGAATTTCTGTGTCTCAGTGCCTTTGCCCATGTTGCCCTCCCACTTTTTGCTCTTCAGCAGTCCCTGCCTCCTTGCCCACTCTTACACATTGCTGACTCAGCACTTAAACCATAACACTATAAATGACTTGTATCTTTGGGTAGGCTATGAGCCTCTAGGGCAGGGGCTCCATCTTGATCAGCTTTGCATCCCTGGTACACAATTTGGTACTCATTAAACATATGTTGAATTTATGGCTCAGCTTGTGGTGTGGTGGCTGCTGACAAGCAGAGCCCTTATTTTGTTAGCCGGAACACTGTTGCCTGTTCTGTTGGGAACCGGCTAGGCCCTAGCCATGAGTACTCTAGGTCGGTGTTGGAGGTGTGGTTTCTGGTGGGGGCTTTGCGAATTGAAGGGTCTGGCTGAAGGATGGAGTTAGGACTGGCAGGTAGAGTGTGGTTTTGAGAACTGACTTCCTAGAGCTGGAGGTGAAGTGAGGAGCAGGCAGCAGACCAGAGCTATGAGGCCCAGGGGCCAGAGGATTGGAATGAAGAAAGACCTGTTCTGTACAAGGATGGGTTTTCTAATAATGAGAACTGAGCTCAGAAGCTCCCTTAAGCCAAATTTAACACAGGATGGGTACAGTGTACCTACCCAGAGGAACAGTTAGACAAGAATGTCAAGTCCCTTCAGTTTTATAATTGTGGAAACAACACTTTCCTGGAAACTAGGAAGAAAAAATAAATGGAAATGTGAACTGCTACTAAAACTAGTTATTTTAGAGAAAAATTAGTAGTAAGCAAACATCTGGTAAAAATTTTTAAAATAGACGGGTTGGGATTATTTAGTAATTGTTAACTTTAAAAGGCTCTGGGTTCAGATGGTTTTATGTGTGAGCTATTTTAAGGCACAGATGCCTTGTAAATAAAACAGTTGCAAGTCTTAGAAATAAGTGGGAAGGTGATATAACCCTAAAAGCAAACAAGCAAGCTAACAGAAGAAATCACTATGCAGCCTTGATTCTGATCAAGTGTGGGAAATCCCTGCACATTGTAACTCAGCTCCAGATGCATTGCTGCCCCTCCACACTATTGCTCAGTTCTGGACCCTCCTTTTTCAAACCCAGCTCAGACTGCGTCCCACCCCCACCCACTGGCCTGCCAGTGGGTCTGATATTGTTGGCCATATCTTTTGAGTTGGTAAGATGTCTCTGACAAGAGAACCTGGGGTTACTCACTGGGGTGATGGCCCAGTCACTTAGTTGACATCCCCACTGTTGCTGGCATCTGCGCAGGACACCTTTCTCATCTACATTTAGTGGACTGGAAGTGAATCCCTTTCAGCTCAAGATTGCCATCTTCCCTTCTGACCCCCCCCCCCCGCCCCCGCCGCCATTACCATCTCCCTTGGGCCCCAGACAGCTCCTGCCAGCTTGGTTTGTAGTCTGGCATGCCTCTCCTCAGGGCCAGTTCTCCCAAGGCAGGCCCAAGAGGATCTGCGGAGAGGCCAGATGACCTGTCTTTTAATTTGGAAAATGGGCCCTATTGTGGTTGGGCTCTCATCACAAAGGAAAAGAAACAAGGGCAGGGCCTTAGCAGCAAAGGCAAGGTTGCCAGTTCCTGGGTGCCCTTGCAGGTGGGATCAGGAGAGGATGGGAGGGCTCTGGCATGACCTTGCAGATAGGCAGTGCATATGGTGTTGCAGAGCGACAGTTTCCTTGGCAGCCGTTGCTGTGCCCTGTCTTTGGGCAGATGCAATGACCTAGCTGCTTTCCTGTTCTGAGGGGGGAGAAGGAACAGAGAGACAGCAGAGGAGGCCCTGCCATGCATGACGGGAGGAGGATCCTTGGGTCATTCGCCACTCCCAGCTCTTCACACACAGGTGGGCTAGAGGAGGCTACTCCTGGGAGCAGGACAGTCTGGCAGGGTTTGCTGGCTGTGCTCAGGGTCTGGCTGATGTGCTGGGGTCTGCCTACCGGATCATCGTGCCCATCCCATACTTGGCCTTGGAAATAACCTGGAGATTTTATTTCCTAAAGGTATGACACAGTGGGCACTATGGGAGGATTTTTAAAGTACACGTCTCCAAGGAAAATTTAACACCAGAAGTATTATGGATACGGTCCTATGAGAGAACTTTTTATAAAGCTGCAACAATGAAAGTACTTGGAATTGGTGTGGATGGATGAACAGAGGAGAATAGAAAACTTTGAAATAAAGCCAATAAATGCAGGAATTTAGTTCATGCTGAAGGTATTGTTTCAAATTAATGGGGGTGAAATGGACTATTTAGTAAAAGGAGTTGGAACAACTGGTTAGCCATCTGGAAAATAGTAAAACTGGATACCCACCTCACTCTGTGCCAGGCTCCACTCCAGATGGATTAAAGATTTCAATATTTAAAAACATAAAAGTACTACAGGGAAGTATGGGTGATTTTTTTTTTCTGCCTGTGATCCCAGAACTTTAAAAGTTCTAGGTATCCAGAATTGCTGAAGGTATGGAGAAAGAGGCTTTTTCTTGCTCTTGATGGGAATATCAAATACTACAATTCACCCACATAACATTTCTAAGCACACATACCCTGACCACTTGCCTATGGGCAGATGGCTGTTGTTCTTCTTCAGTGTGGGGCTTCAGAGCATGGACTTGAGCTTGGTCACACCTTGCCTCCACTTGCAAGCTCATGGTCTGTGGTGTCACCTGACCTCATAAGGTGGTGGGAAGATCGAATGAGATAAGGCCTGTGTAGTGGCCGGAGCCCTGTCAAGTGCCTAGTGGGCACTCACTGCATTAACAGCAAAGCTGGAGACAGCCCAAAGGCCCTGTAGTATGGAGTGAGGTAAATAGAGCTGTTCTGTCACATCAGTCAGGATGAGCCAGATTGTGCTGTAGTCAAAACCTCCCACGTCTCACTACTCATCTGTCACAGACCAGCTGGGGTGGCCCTTGCCCATTGCAGAGGACCTGTGCTGACAGGAGTTCACTGGACGCATTCTCCGTAACCACAGAGGCAGGAGAAAGATCACAGTGAACCACAAGTGATACTTACATCCCTCCTTTTCCAGTACGGTGGCCAAAAGAAGCTGCCAAACCACACCTGAGTTCTGAGGGATGAGCGGCTAATCCTCCAGTGGGGTGGGGCTGTCAGCATGGAGAAGGTGAACCTGATGCTCAGTAGTGACCCTAACCGATCGCCAAAGTGGGGGCAGGCCTGCATCAATACCCGTGGAAAGATGCCTGTGAGCTTACTAAGGCCGCGGGGCTTAAACAACAGAGTGTATTTCTCCCAGTTCTGGAGGCTGGAAGTCCAAGATCAAGGTGCTGGCAGGGTTGTTTCTCCTGCGGTCTGTCCCCTTGGCTTGTGATGGCCATCTGCTCCCTGTCTCCTCACATGGTTGTCTCTCTGTGCCTGTCCTAATTTCCTCTTATAAGGACACTAGTCCTATTGGATTAGGGGCCACCCATATGACCTCATTTAACATTAATTTCTTCTTTAGAGGCCCTGTCTCCAAATAGAGTCACATTCTGAGAGGGTAGGGGCTAGAACTTCCAACAGGTGAATTGGAGGGGGGGGGGGGAGACACAATTTGCCCATAATAATGCCCAAGATGGATTTCTTGTTTTTCATTTTTGCAATTTCCAATAATGTTATGGTGAGCACTCTTGGGGGTGCAGAGCCTCTCCAGGCCACGGCAGCAGAACATGCTGGGAACGCTTATTTCAGAAATCTTTGCCTGCCTGAGGGTACAAAGACATTACCCTGTATTTCCCAGTTTTAATGTTTTGCCTTTTACATTGACTCTCAAGTCAGCTTGACTAATGGCGTGGCGTGCAGAGGGCTCTGCCGTGGTCATCAGATAGCCAGTGACGGGCACGGGCCCCTCCACCTACCTGCGCCAGACATGTAATAGGAGTGGGAATCGGTTTGAGATGTGGAGCCGCTGAGTTTGGGGGCTTGTGTATCCCACAGCGTGACCTATCCTACCCTAGCGAGTAGAGGCCCCTTTCCCCACAGGGCACGGACCTTCCCACCCCAGGTTAAGGATGCCAAGCTGACCCAGCCTGTCCATGGTGCCATCCTTCTCATACATGCCTAGCTCTCTGGTCTGGTCTGTCCTCACCAATGATCTATCTAGCTTTATAGTGAGTCTTTATAGCGAGTCTTCATTATTTGGTAGAGAAATGTTCCCACCT